GCCGGTCCCGGGCCTTCGGGTCGGCCGCCGCAGGCGCAGGGCGGGGAGGTCGCTTAGGGCTGCCACGATTTGCATCTCCATTATGCTAAGGTCCTTATAAAGAAATTAATTGTCCTGGAGCCTTTTAGAGCTGGTGAAAGTCCCTCCATCTCCAGGCAGCCGAAGCTTAACCCTGGTCCTAAGTCTCCCAGGTGTGGCACTAGGATTCATGTTAAAGGAATTATTCACAGGCCCTAAGGCCCGCGCCAGTTGCAGCAATTACGGTTATTGATCCATTGTGTGAACTCAGGAAATTTTCTTTTAGGATTTTATTTATTTATGCATACAGAACTGGGGTACAGGCCAGAGGTGCAGGGGCCATGAGAGAATTCACCAGAGACAGAGTGGAGAACAGAACAGGCAGATATATGAAGTACACTGCTGAGGGTAGCAGTGGATCGGGCAGGACAGGTCTGCCTAGCTATGTGGATCACATCGGGGGCCTGATCGAACTAGCACTGTACTATAGTGGCTGGGCACTGTAGTGGCCACAGCCAGCTTAGCAGTGCTGTGCTCCAACCTCACTGGGTCACTAGGGAGGGCCAGTGGTCTTTTTTTTTTTAAGGATTTATTTATTTATTTATGCATACTGGGGTACAGGCCAGAGGTGGGGGTGGGAGGGATGAGCGGAGTCACCAGAGATAGAGAGTGAAGCAGAACAGGGAGATAGTACTGAAACACACTGCTGAGCAGAGCAGTGGTTGGGTCAGGAGAGGTCTGCTGGCCATGTGGGTCACTTCCCTGACCTTAACCCCCTGGCAGGGTATCACAAACAAATTGTGCTGCAGGGCTGTGTATGATTTCACAGTGCTTTACTTTAATCGGTTGCACCACCAGGGAGGTTAAGACAGGAGAGGTCTGCCACACCATGTGGCCAGGGAGCTGACCCACTTGGCACAGCAGACCTCTCCTGTCTCTCCTGCTTCTCCCCTCAGCAGTGTATTTCATAGATCCTCCTATTCTGTTCCCCACTCTGTCTCTAATGAATCCTCTCACTCCCTATCTCTGGCCTACACCCCAGTTCTTTTATGCAATAAAACACAAACACAGTAGATAAGTTGTAAAAATAAAAAAATGCTCAAAGGAATACTGAAAAGGTGAAATAGAAAATAAACAGAAAGAACAAACAAAAAGCAGATAATATAATGGTAGACCTAAAATCCAAACAGTGATCACTATAGCTAACCTTTGAACAAACTTGAAGTTAGTCACGCCAGCTGCTCAACAGTCGAAAAATCCAAGTATGACTTTTGACACACCCCAAACCTAACTACCCTTGGCTGGAAGTCAATCAACAAGTTGTTGATTGACACATACTTAGTATCTGTAATACACCTTGTGTTCTTAAAATGAAGTGAAAGAAAATGATAAGTAAGAGAAAATGCACTACGTTTATTTAACCTAGAAATTTACCTTGTCTGTTTACAAGAAAATCCTTGTATAAATGATATTTGAAACACATTGTTTAAGGGTTAACTGTAAATTAAATATAAAAGGCCTAAGCCAGGAGTCAACAAAGATTTTTTACAGGTCAGATGTTACATATATTTTATTGTCAGAGACAGTCTGTTCATATTCTTTGTTTCAAAAGCAGGTGATGAACAAGATTTGGCCTGTGGGTTATTTTGCCAAACTTTGGTCTAAGCACACCATTAAAAGATAGATAGTGTCAGAATGGGAAGACCCCCCTAATGTGTGATGAGATGGGAACTTGAGTGTAATGGAAGGACTTCTTCCTGCTCAAACTCTTCCCTTCTATGGAAGTCAGCTTTCTGGAGACTTTAGCATTTAAGAACAGCCCTGAAACTGACAGGAAAGAATGCCTCTCCATATCATCAATGACCCTGAACAACCCTGAGCAATTTACACACAGCTAAGGCCTTTGGACGCACCTTTGTGCCCGCTTATCTTATTTCAGGAATAGTACTAAACACATTAGCATTCTTCCAATTTCATCAGATAGGAAACAAGCCAGGAGGACAGAGAAATAAACTAAGTGTAATACGGGAAGAAAGGTGTGTGAGCACATAGTTGGAACTGGACCATTTGATGGTGAGGTTAACCACTTAATTCTCTGGCCTGAGCATTTCAGTGCGTACAAATCTCAAAGACATTTCTCCTTAAGCTGTAGATTCCATTTTCCTGTTAAGACTTTTACACATTGCATTTTTTTTATTTTAAAGATTTTATTTATTTGTACATACAGAACTGGGGTACAGGCCAGAGGCTCAGGGGTGGAGAGAGGCTTCACCAGAGACAGAGTGGGGAGCAGAACAGGCAGATCGACAAAGTACACTGCTGAGGGGAGCAGCGGGAGAGCTAGGAGAGGTCTGCTGCGCCATGTGGTCACCTCCGGGGCAGGCGGGAATCAAACTCATGCGGAAGTGGCTTTAGCTTCTCAGTGCAGTGCTTTAACCCGCTGTGCTACCAGGGAGGGCCTACACATTGCATTTTTGATAAAATTTCTATCCCCTTGCTGGGTTTCTACTTCAAAGACAATTATCCACATATTGGATCACTTCTATTTCCCATATCTATTCTGTTGAATAAGTTTGCTCATACCATATTTTATTCTGTGTTCACTTTGATCATCTCAAGTCTTCCTTCTTTGGGAAACATTTAAGTTTTTGTTATGCCCATTCTGTTCTTTACTCTTATAAACCAGTCCTGCCTCTGACTTTTGTAGGGATAAGAGCAAGAGAACAAATAGAGATTCATTACCCATATATCCAAATATTTAGATGTTACAAATCAAATAAGACTCCACTAAATAAAATATGTGCTATCTTCCTTCCTTGTGATGGATGCTTTGACATAAGTGTTACTTTGAGCTGAATACATCTGAATGAGAAACAGATAATAAGGGTCGTTAATTCTATCTCTTTGGATTCAATGTTTGAGTATTATTCTACATTGCAATATAGATATTTAAATGTCCTGAACCTACTAAAACAGGACATGCATTTGTAAAGGTGTCCCTCTCCCTTTTCTACCTGGAAGGACAGAGTTCATTATCAAACAGAACTGGATATTCTTATCAGGCCAGAGACAGCCCAGAAGATCTGCAGCAAATTTTTTAGGAGTAGTCCTTATCTACCATTAGTCTTCTTATTGCTGCAATTTGCTGCCCCTGGAAGCATAAAGTCTTTTCCTTTGTCTTGTCTTCTCTCTATAAATTATTGATCTTTGGTTAGATGCTATGCAAGCCCAGGTCCTAAACAGCTTTTTGCATTAAGTCTCTGAGAGCTCCTGTGTGTAGCTATGATACACATATGATTAAGCTTCTTTTTGTTTTTCTCTTGTAAATCTTTTGCCAATGTCATTTATGGCACCCCAGGAGTGAAACTAAGAAAAAGTTTTTCTTTCTTTATTTGGAATATTCTTTCATTCTGACAAAATAAAAAAACTTGGTTGTTCATGGTTTTAAATGACTGAAATTTTGCAAAATATTAAAGATCTTGAATTTAATTCTCACTGAGTATATTTGGGTGCTCTGCTTATGGACTAGCAATGTTTACATGACTATTAAAAAAGACTTTTCTGAGGACCTCCCTGGTGGATCAAGGAGTTAAGTCTCTGTACTATAAAGCTACCTGCAGCAGTAGTGCAGATGCTCTAGCCAGGGAGCTACCACATGGTACAGCAGAACTCTCCTGTCTCCCCTCAGCAGTGTGTTTCAGTAGAGCTGCCTGTTCTGCTCCCCAGTCTGTCTCTGGTGAATCTTCTCACCCCTTCCTGCACCTCTGGCCTATAACCCAGTTTTGTATGCAAACATAAATAAAGCTTAAAATAAAAAGACTTTCCTGACTAATACATTGTTTTTACTCTCTAGTTAATTTTCTAGAAAATAAAATCTATTAATTAATTTTTCTTTACATAATTGCTAATTATGCTGGTGTTAGAACTTTATAGTAGAAAATTTAGGATGGAATGTTTCACAAAGAAAAATTTCCGAGGTTGGGTAGGGACTATCAACTTAAACTAAACCAGTTATGGAAATTTCCAGGAATCTGACGTGGGGTCAGAAAAGATTATCAACCAGAGGTGGGAACAGAGAGGATTATCAATCCAGGAGATTGATAATCGTAG